TCTGCTTTCCATCAGAATCTGGCGGTGCAACCACACTGACTCTCCCATATATAATGTAATCGTTCCTTGTGTTACAATTGCATAAAGTGGTGTGTTTTTCGAAAGCGAAAAAAGCTACTAGTGCGAAGTCACTGTGAGTACAAAAATGTATATGCCTTTCGAAAAAGTGCAGCAGTACAGTAACCGCAGAAGCAAAGCATTAGTAGTGGATAGTGCTGCTGAAGATAACAACAATGGCACTGATGCCACGAGTGCTAAATACAGTAATACCGCCCAATTGCCATGCAGAAGAGGAACCAGCAACATGGGTTTGCCGCATATCAATCTTCTTAAGCTTATGCGAGCACTTACATCGGATGAATTGTAGAATTTCTAGCGCAGTGGTAAAACGGGGAGAAACTCTCGGGCCGCACAGTCAGGAAACGTGGCGCGTTGTACCATACAGACGACCCACTTTTAGCACCCAGTGGAAAAAAATGTCTGCCTTCTTTTCGCAAGCGCACTGACGGATATGCTTAAAAACCACAGAAAGATTGCAGGATCAAAGTCCAAAATTGTTTTCGTACAGAGGCGAAGAATAAAGATAAGTGATATCTTTTTGTGAGGACGCTGCAGAATAGCAGATATTAATTGTGATATATAAAAATATAAAATTATATTAAAAAATTGAATGCTTGGGTCCATTAAGTCGCAGAAATTCCTATTCGAAACTACAAGAAGATTTTGTCAGTATGACAGTTGTGGTGCAGATAAAATAAATGAAAGGAGGTAAATTCGTGTAAGGAAATGGGTTATAATTTTAAGAAAGATGAAAAGAGGTAAATTTAGAAAATAATGATAGGGGAAAAGAGCAATGACTGATCAGGAAGGCAAATGAGAAGTAGAGAACCGTTAATTATTGGCACTGGTTCAGCTTTAATATCAAAAAATATGAATTTAAATATCTGTAAATAAATACAACAAAACCACAGGACCTGTATGGAAGCTTTAGAGGTGGTCGGAAAAACAAGCTGACCAGCGAAGTATCAAACTAGAATGAGGTTAACTGCTTTGTTGGGTTTTGAATTTGGAATAAAAGGCAGTAGAAAAAAAACATGCTTTTGCCAGGGAGCGCAAATTTCGGTAACTTTCCTTTTTTTGCTGCGCCTCGTTTTTCCCTTCTACCTCTTTCTCTCCATCCCAAAAAAATTATTGGTTTGTCTGTTTTGCTTTAGTTAATTGTTTCAGTCGCATTTTGAGTAAGCATCCCGACATATTTTCCCAAAAAAAAAAGAATATTTTTGATTAAAACGCAGCGGAGTTAAATGAATTGCTGTTGTGGACTATCACAGGTCGTCTATGCATGCCAGTTGACACAGAAAACTGCCAGATCATGAACACTGTAGGGCAATTTTCCGGGTTTTTGGAAAATGTAATTTGATGCAGCAAATAAAGTTTTTGTCGGTAAAAATCCCCGAAAATTTTTAATTGCAGAAGTGCAAAAATACTGGTTTTCATTGTTTTGGGAGCATACACTGATGAATTTGACTGACTTTTTAACTTCAAGACATTTCATCAACTGAAAAAACAGGCACGGTGCATTTCGCAGGCCTATATTCAAATGGACTTTCCTTTCCCATTTTGACTTCTAACTGTCTTACGGAAAATCAAAGAAAAGGAGTGAAAGAGCAATGGGCATCGGGACGCTCGATGTGGGTATAAATTTTCACGGTAAATTGCTGCGGGCGTCGAGATCATTGGCCATTTTACGGGCACGAGCTTGCCACGCCGATTTCTTAAAGCACCAACTTTGTTTAAAGCGCAATAATTATCGCCTTTTTCAGTCTTGAGCTAAAAATGACGCTCGTAATGATGTCTAGATGCAAATCACAGGTCAGAAAAGAATAGAACTGAAGACGAATAACAGATATTAATGCTTTTTCATGCTGTGTGCTACGCGGTTCCGGCTTTTCAACTTCACATCTTTCAAGAATTTACGCGAAGCAGTTATGCGAACTATCTTAAACTGATTTTGAGGTGCTTAACTCAATTCCTTGATAAATTAAGCTTCTAAGCCTTTGAGTTTATACCGAATCTACTCTCAGTTTGCAAAATTGATTCGATGTAAACAAATTACAGATTTTGGCAGACGAAAAGCGAATAAGCGTACTGCTTCATAAACGATCCAAAACTGCATTTGGAATTTTCAGCTTTCTAGCTTTTACTTTTAAATAAATGGCAAATGTATATAGAGGTTACCTTGTAATGAGTCTCTGCACAGAAATTTGCAAATATATATTAAAATAGAACGTTATGTCACCTAACTTTCTTCAGGCGACCGATCCTAATTATGCGCTGAATTAACTAGTTGTCCAAACTGGCTCAGTCGTCTTGGATTTATACTGAAGAAGCTTATACTCATATTATTTTGGTGATCAAATGCTGCAAAAAAATTGCTTGTTTAACGAACAGCAACTCAAAAAGCTATTCAAAAGCTGGAAGTGGTCACCTTGACGAACTGACTATTGATTCGCTTTATGCCGTCCAGCACCAACATCGAACGCTGACCCGTCTCGTTGAAATTGAGAATTCCTGTCGCTGACGTCTCCATTTCTACCTGCGATCATTAGCAGAATCTATTTCGAGCTATTCGCCTCGGATTAAAGAATGAATTAAATGCTAAAAGTTCCAATTCTTGTTTTTTTTATCCGTTAAGTTTGGTCGAATGCTCACAAATTAGTACACAAAGAGAGTTATGGAGTTTGGCCGAACCAATTGAACATAGTCTATCACATGATCAAAGTTTATGTCCAGCAGTCCTAGCTTTCAATTTTGATACTGAATAATCCAGACAACAAGTCTTAAGTCAACTTTCATATTTTTCTGCCAATTCTATACTTCTAAAGCGTATCCTAATTCCGGCTTATATGATGAATAGAGCTTCACAGCAAAAATTAAAAAATTCGAAAATACTTATCTCATTGGTTGATACGGGGCGAGTAACATAAGATGAGCCTCCTAACCTTAACTTATTCATTTTTTTTTAATTATTTTTTCCTATTTTTTTTGTAGTTGATGTTATAGGATAATAAGAATTTGCAGCTCGTAGTTTAGGTTACAGTTCACCAGTTGGTGATGAATTGATTTAGCATTAGAACACTGTGACCAACATTGCACCATGCTGTTGGAAAATTTCGTTACTTTCTCTGAACTGATTAAGAAACCACAGGACGGCTGCACGGACGCATTCAACCTTGACTCTTGTAACAGCTTATCACAGAAATATGTAGGAAAACCGATCTGGTGGTGTACTCAGTCATTAATGTAAAGTGTAGAACAAGTAAAGACATCGAAAATGATACCTGTCTAATAGCGCGATTCAAATAAACGCCTCCCGTCCAAACACCACCCTCTTCACAAACTATTGTCTCGGCAGCAATATGAACACCATCACTTCTCAACTTCGTTAAAGCCTTCCCAACCACAGCTACTGCATCACTCGTCAGCCCAACTTCTGTCTGCAAAGTAATTGTCATCACTATGGCTTTCATTTTGCAGTTTTTGCTTCTGCAACCTCTGCACATCGGAATCACTTGACCTTTTAATTGATAATCCTTGAATCTAAACGCGTACCGGCACTGTCAACACCGGCCAGGCAATCATTGTAACTACCCGACATTAGTGATTTCCTCCACGTCGGGTGCAGCTTTATTGATTCCTTCTATGCTGTGTCACATAATTCTAGCTAATATTCACCGCTTGCTTGTGCATCACCCCAGAAGAACTAATCGTACGAAACGTGTAATTAGATGCCTTTTCTCAAAAAGAAAAAAAAAGAAACCTTCATTAATGGATCAGTCTTCACAATGCGAAAACCGCTAATATTACATTCAAAAACGCTGCTCGCTGTATTGATGTATTCTTCAATAAGAAACAAATCCTAAAAGAAAAATAATTGTTGTTCCGAATTAAAGTTCCTTTTTACCACCAATTTATTAGCTCTTAAGAAAAGACGTCCTAGAAAAATCTATGCATGATACACCTCAAGTTACCTTGATTACTAATGTCGCAAAAACCGATAATTAATAATAAAACTAAGTTTTGACAAAAAGTAACGGAAGAGATTGAATGAAGAAACAGTAAATTAGTCTGAGTGGTAGTATTCCAACAGCATCAGTTTAATTAATACTTAAGCTCGAAATCCTTGATTTTCAAGCTTAACTCTTCCTTCCCCCTCCCTCTTAAAAGTTCCTGCCCCCACCCAAGAAACTGTGTGTTTGAAAGCAATTAATAAACTGTAAGACCCAGAAGTTTTTTTGAAGTAGCATTCGATGGCACCGTTGAATTAAATTCAATAATTTGTAGAAATATTTTTTTTAATAGAAATATTTGACTCTTGAGCATATTTGACCCTTATTTACATCTTTTCTCTCCTCTACATTATTTCCGGTGACGTCGCGATTCAGTTTGACAGTGGATAATCAAAGAGTTATAAAATATCATCATATCGATCAATGGTAAGAGGTGTGGCCGCATCGCCGCGGACATGGCTTATCAACTTTGGGAAGATATTGTAGGCGCGATTTCCTGAGACCCCCGGAGCAGACGGACCTACAGCATCAATCTTTTCGACATATGGCTTGACTTCCAGCGAGTTGCAAAGTGCCTATATTCTCGACACATTTTTTTGGACTAATATGATAGCGCCGACATTCTCGACGTATATTCCGACGTATTCTTGGAGAAAGGTCCGGGATCTCTGCATTTTTGATGCATTTACACCTCGACGCATCTCGATGGCATTCAAAGCACTTATTCGCGATCACTATAAATCAGTATCCGACTTGCACCCCGACTGTATTTCAATATCGAATCGTGGTGACTGTTTTATTTGATGATAATTATTCCCCGTAAGCCTTTGAAATTCACCACTAGGCGAGGATAATACAGATTTTAGAAGTAAAAGTTAAAAAGTGTAAAATGAGCAAAGGGGAACATTGTGCACGTAATTTATAAAAATAAAATTATATAATTAATAACAGAAGAAAGCAGCCTGAAGAGGAATATTTCGGCTTATTAAGTCGCATTCTTTCTTTTTCAGCGACACAAATTGACCTCGATCCAATTGTGATGCTCATTCAGTGTGTATATGTATGCAACTACTTAAGTTTTTAGATGAGTTAGGTCTAAACTGGTCTGTTATTAGGAAAAACCAAACCATGTTTGTGAAGATGTATGAGTAGCGAGAAGTTGTCATGTTCAAAGCACTTGCTTGCTGAAGGAATTGGAAGAGTACACTTAGCTTATCCGAGTGCAGTATCTGAAACCCAAATAACACCAAAATTCTAATCATGGAGTATAAAATGATTAATATAACAAGCCACCGATCGATGTATCGCAAAAACCTGCTCAGTTTATCAAGTTGAGCAATTGAATGATCCAGATAGACACTGAATCATTAAATGATGCTTAAAAAAAAATTACACTAACAATGTTTGTCTCACGAAGTTTTTGAATGCGTTCCAGGAAAAATACATATTCGTCTTCATTTCTCGGAAGCTGGCGCACCTTCATTGTCACGAACCCGTGAGCAGTACGAGGCAGCTGAGATATCAAACCATTCAGAGTCACTAGGTCTGTAGAAAGGATTATGAACAGAGGTTTTTTTTTATTTTTGCGCATTAGTAGTTCTTTTCGGGTCGAACGGATCGGTGGATCAAAAAAGAAGCATAAATTCCCATTATAAATTGTTTATGTTGTTTATGCGTTGTGCCAAGCTCTTCGGTCCTGGACTGTGTCTTTTCGTACCCACTAGCCTATTCGATGCTCCAGCTCTCTGAGGGTCGCCCCATTCGTCGTTTGCTTTCTCGTAGATACGGCAACTACTAAAACTCGGCTCGGCTTGGCACGGCCCGGCTCGGCTCGGCCGGTGCGTTTTGCGCCCCAATGAGGCGTCTGCCATCTCTGGCAACACTA